ACATGGAACACGTTCCATGGAACGGATAGCATAGCCCCCTGGATTTTGGGAAAGATATACCAGGACACCCTGAAGGAGCTTCTATTGATAGATGTTAAGGGGTATCCATTATACGCACAAAAGGCCTTTGGAATGCCAACCCTTCCTCGCAGTTGTCTCAACGATGTGTGACTACCCTTCAGCCAGCTACCATTCTGCCAATCCGCAGTGGCTGCCCTTTTGGTCCGGGATCCGCAGTGGCTCATCTAGTTCAAATTCCATGGTACTTGAGCCCAACAGAATCAGGATGGGGAGCCCTTCCCAGGCGCGGCGCTTGCTTCAGCATGGCGCAGGCCGCGCGGCGGCGCAGAAGCTGCTGCTGCGTGGGGCCAGCGCGACCAGCCAGGCTTCGCACAGGGGCTGCGCAGGGGCGAGTTGGGCTGGAAGTAGTCTTCGCAAAACAAACAGTTTGGCGAAAGAAATGAAATGTTTTGTCCCCTAAGGATGATAGTTTTGGTATGTCTTGGTTCAGTTCACCACACAAACACACAGACAACGGCGCCAGATTGTGGGGAAAAGGGGCTACAATTCATCGTTCCGGATCACGTTCCCCAAGAGTTCCGCTTCCCCTTTCGGCCGACCGAAGAGTTCCATTCTTCTCGGCCGACCCAACCGTCGACGATTGGGTCACAGTGGTCCGGCACGTCGATGGTTCTCCACACCGCGGTGCGCCGCGCCTGCGTGGCGGTGAACTCGGCAGGCGGAGCAAGAGGATGTGGTGGAGGGGCTTGGGGTTCCCAGAGGATCCTTCAGGTCGGCGCTCGGCTGCGAAGGTGTCGATTGTCCCCGGTGGCCCAGGCCCAGTCCAGAAGGGGAATGTCTGAAGTCCAGCCTGATGCACACACAACAGGGATGTCGGTTTGATCCAGAAACATTTTGGAGGCTGACGCATATATGCATATGAAGTTTGTGGCTGGGTGGCTGGCTGTGGTTGGTCCAAAAGAGGCGTTTCAGCACGCTGTCGAAAGGGTCGCAAGGAACTTCGGATGACCTTTTCCGAATAATTACCAAACGGGTAGTGGATTTTCCACTTCCGACATGTATATCGCAGGGAGTGTAAAACTCTGATGGATACTTTTGATTCTGATGATTCTGTTCGAACAGTCGCTTGGTCGTGGCATCTGTTGGTGTTTGAGAAATGGGAAGCTCAAACATCACCCATGGATACCCAGAGGTCTGGGTGGAACTAGATACCAAAACAGGCCGATTTGGCTCGAGGAATTGTTTCAGCAAACCCTTTTCGAGCATGTGGTCGCATGTGCCACGCTCAAAGCAGCTTGGGTTCCGACACATCGATCTACTCAAATATCCCCAAAACATTGGGGTTGGTTGTTGCCAGGTGTTGCTGCTTTGCTTGCAAAACAGAGAAAATACGGCCAGGTCGCCATTTTTCCCAAGGTGGGCTGCGTGCCTCGCGCCGCTAACCGCCGAGGTTGAACCTGGTGGCCTTCGCCTGCGGCGCCTCTCGGCGACGGTTGAACCTGAGGGCCATGCCATCCACTTCCATGTGAGTTCCGCTTAGATGATCACGGAAAATCATGAAAATATATCATAAAACTATCATCGATGGCGTGATACATGCATATCGCATTGAGTATGTGAACTGCATGGACGGATGGTATTTTGGGGGGCATAATGGTGAAAGATGAAACATGATTCATGTGAAAGATTGTGTGGAAGATACTGAGGAACATGTACGAAACAGCGATAGTAACTCGGTATGTTGCTTCATCTGAGGAACATGTTTGTTCCAAGCAGCCCATTCCCCCAAAAAACAAGAAAACAAAATGCCGGCTCCGTTCCGCTACCAGTCTCCCTGCCTAAACTTATTTTTGGATCTTTTTGGAGAAACCTGCGCCGAACGAAGGGGTCGAACGAAACCAGAAAGGTGGTGAGGCTTCCCGCAGGCCTCGGCCCATCCGGTGACAGCCGCGCCGTTCTCGGTTTCCGTTCTCCACATGTTAATCCATACCCACTAGACTAGGCTGCTGGCTTATTTCTGCAGCCCTTCAACGGTTCCAAGTGTCTGGTAGATCCACACGGTTCCGCTCGCTCCGAGGTGGCCTCAGAGCGGGCCAGTCTTCAGAACCTCCTTCGCGAGGTGGACTCCTCGTCGGGCGCGCGGACTCGTCGCCCGCCGTGTACTGGCCCGTGGTGGGCGCCGACCGTCCGGGGGGCGCGGTGGGTGCCACCGGAGCTCGGCGTTTGAGAGATATACCACTGTCGCTTGTTGGCACCGACAGGTGGGAAGAACGGTCCACGGTGGGAGACATCCCACCCGTGCCCATGTCCGCGCGTAATACGAAAGACTCTCCAAGAGATGAGCCTGATTCTGCTTGAGGAGTTGAACAGAGACTTGTTCTGTACATTGTAAATGCACCGTCTCTTTCACAGAGGCCCACTTCTTCCGTCTTGTGGAACATGACTTCGTCCTCATGATCATCCTTCATCCCAACATGGCGGGGGAAAAGATCTACTCCCGAACGTTTCCGCACGACGAACGTGCTCCACGGCCTCAGTGCCTCAGTCCTCCCACCGACTCCCGACTCCGACCGGTCGGAGGTGGCCTCGCTCCTTGGCCCGCTCCGGCGGCAGTCGGTGGATCCGGTGCGGCCGGCGCGGGGACTGCGGGTGGGACCGGGGGGTGGGACCGCGGGAGGGTGGTGGTTCTGAGGAGGCGGAGCAAGAGATGTGAAGTGAGGAGAGGGGCACACAAGGAAGGGTGTTGGGTTTGGCAAAAATACTATATGATGTGTCTACAATTGCTTGAAGCGTTTGTGGATGTTTTAAGCCTTTGTCTCTATATCACATGTTTTGTCGTCCTTGTTGGCAGTGCTTCATCGGCCTATTTTTGGAGGTCTCGAACTGACTACGTCGTGGCCAACAGGTTGGCCTTTGGTTTTCGTGACCTTCTAGAGGCCTGTCGCAGCAAGGCCTCCGTCACGGAAGCGCCGCTTCAGCGCCGCGCACGGCCTCGGCACGTGGGGCGGAGGTACATGTGCCTCGAATCTCAGAGCTGGTGGCTGCGCTACTGTCGCTGGAGGTGGGGGGGGACACGGACACAGGCGGAGGCGGAGGTGGGGGACACGGCCAACACCCAAACACCCCGAGCCACCAAACGTGTGACTTGTCTACCTCGTCACCTAGAGTGGTTGGAAGGCGCCGAAAAGAAAGGGGAAGAAGAACCCCAAAGTCGTCCCAGCCCCTTGAGGAATCCGTTTGTCGCATGGTAAGTTCACCTGCCAAATACAGAGTTGATGTCGTTCATAGTACATGTCAAGACGCTAAAACCGGCAGGGCCACGGCCAGGTGCAGGTGTGTTGCATGTTTTTTGTTAATGAAATCCGAATCTGGAACTCTTGCCTCACATTGCCAAGAGTTGGGTAGAGTTCATGTTGGATTGTCGTAGATTATCACATGTAGAGCCTAAGAAAGCGAGTAGTGCGAGGCGGCTGGTGGGACACTGACTGGTCTTTTTGCTGAGACCTTGGTTGGGGATTGATGGTAGATAGCAGGTATAGAAGTCTATAGTTGGTATCATGTCAACAGGCACGGGCAACCACAGAGTGGTATTGGAGGTGTAAGTGAACGCGCTGGTCGCAGCATTTTGATTGAACTTTGCCAGGCCGATGAAAGCTTAGCGCAGGAGGCGAGTGCTTCAGCAAACAGAAGCTGGTGTCGAAGCCGTACTCAACCATTCCTGGCTAAAAGTTATGGGGTCGAATCCCACTCAGCAGGCAAGATGTCCAAAAACGCTCACTCGCCAAATCTATGGTGGTCATATTCAGAATCCACACCCAAGGCTTCGCACCCCAAAAAGGCACCGCTGTTCGAGATTTGTGCACAAACCTTTGCGCAGTTGGCTTCAATCTGAGTAGAGCCCATCGGATCCGCGTCCCTTCGACCCGAGTGGAGCCTCGGGCGGAACGAAGGTCGCCGGCCTTTGCAAGCGCGAGGGCCCCGGAAGGCGGATCTGGTTGGGTTCAAAACGGTTTTGGGATTTTCACTGCCGAAGTAGGCTGAGGATCAACCCTAAACACATAACAGGACCCCAAGTTGGAGGTGTATGTAAATAGCCTCTTGGAGGTTAAAAGAGGTGTCCTTAAACCACCGAACTTGGAAGGTCCTGGTATAAATACAATTTCATCAAGAGTCTACATGTCCGGGCGGGCCCGAGCTCTTCCAGCTGCCCGGCATGCTATAGGTTGAAGCTGCTGAGTATTGCTCTTAGGTGGAGGCCATCGCTACTAGTAACAACAAGCTACAAATAACCAGGGTTGAAGAGAAGTTCGCCAAACCACCCGAACCACCCGTTCCCTCGTGATCCCAACCTCCAAACCCTCCAAACGCCCAACGCCGGGTGGCATGGCCCCGGAGAGTGGCCCGGAGTGGAATCGCAACGGGGCGTCTCCGGTGGAACCGGGCGGCTCCGGGGAAAAGAAACAAGAAGAATTGAAAGAAGTCACCAAAGGAAGATGTCTGCAACATTGTTTAAATACGTGAAATCATGAATGTCAACAAGTTCATGTGCGTCTCCATTCCAAACCAACACCGGTTCATCTTTTATATCTTTAAGGGATCGACGGTGGACGAACCCGTGGACGGTCTGGACCCGCCAGGCTCCCCTTGGTGCCAAGCCTGCAAGCTGCGCAGCAGGCGGCCAGTGCCCAGTGGGGGTCCTCAGGGAGGCACCTGGTTCGAGTCGTTGTCTCTGGAAGATTGGCTCCACTTGGACGAGGTTTGTTGACTCGACTCAGACGAGAAAAGACATCCTCCTGCTTTGGTGGCAACGCAACGTCCGACGTTCTGACCTTCGGCCAAGCCAGGCCGGGTATGGGCGGTCAGCAAGACCCACGAAACAGTTCCAGGTGAGACGTTGGATTTGCCAAGGTCTTTTGCTGTTTCATCTCTTTCATGCACGGGGTTGCGCGGCCGCCTAGTCCAAAATAGTTTTCTCGTGGATGCCGCAAGACGCAGATCTGAGGTTCATTGGCCAGAAGCAGCGTTTGAGGCCGAGAGAGAGAGGGAGAGTGAGTGAGTGAGGGAGATTCACATACAAGACCAGAACCTGTGGTTGATCATCAGTGGAAGAAAAGCTTGAAAGTCCTGTGGCTTGCTTTTTTGAGGTGCCCCAAGAAACCAATGCTTGGAGTCTTACTCCAGCTTCTGGTCAGGTCTCAACCCAGCGGGGGCAATCTCTTCTTCGTAAACCTCTATCCGATCCCACCACACCCACGGCACTGTGCGCGGCCGCAGCACACGTCCGGTAGTCTACCAACATGATGAATGCCACATGGCTTCGTTGGACTTCCAGGTACCCTTGTCTACCACACCACCCCTCACAGTTGCAGGTCAACCAACGATCCCATCCGGCGACTGAAACCTGGTCACGGGGCCGTCCCAGGCTGGCCTTCGAGCTCATTGACCAGGTGGGACGGCCCCGTGAGTTGGGTGAGGCGGCTGAGTTGCAGCGCGGCCGAAAGCGAGTCGTGAGCTCCTTCACCGTGCCACATCCTTCCCACTCTTCAACGGTCAAAGGTAGGAAAGCGGACCAGGGAGGAGTCGAACCTCCAAAGTATGCGAGAGCATGCGCTGGTGCAAGCGGCGATGCAACGCCTTACCCATGCCGGCAACATGGCCGGCAGACATCGACAAACCAAGCTGCGGGACCAAGCCCGAGGGGTCGCGACGAGAACATGAAAAGACCGAGAAAACACTCAAGGACAACAATGGCTGGTGATACGGCGAGTTTGTTGGGATTAGGTGAAGACCTGCAACCAACACCCTCCATGCGACTCGTGGATGCCGTGGATAGTTCATGCCGCGAGACAAGCGGCTTTGCACAAAGGCTTCCTCGGTCCATTCCGCGTGCTGCAGGTGAAGGCGGCGCCAGGGATGCCAGACTGGCCAGGGCCATATGCCCTGGCACAGCTGCTACTTGAACGCAGCTGAGTCCAACTTGGAAGCACTTTGATAGACAAGCCATCGCCTTCAAAGCTCAATGGAGCCCAGCAAATTTGCACTATGATTTGTATGTGTGGTATGCTTGTTGCATATCAGTTTTGTCAGACCTTGCCTTCAAGTGATTGCTGCACTGCGTCACCGGCTTCGCTCGCCTCCCCGGTCCCCCAGGTTGGCCGGCTGCGCGTTGGCCGGCGCCGCCTTCCGGCGCCCGGCTCGGAAGCTGACGAAGGCCTCCAGGGGACTGGAGGATGTTAGCTAGGCCGGCCATCAACCCAACTGCCGAAGACCCTCAAATCAACGAAGCCCAGGTTTTTGGAGCGTTTTGGTCGCCCCAAAAAACAGAGGTGCAAAAACCTGGAGTTTCTTCTTGTTCGCAGAGGCGCACGCCTGATGGCCCAACCTGGTGCCGTGGTTCGTGAGAAAAACGACGACGGCACACCACGCGAGACGGGTAAAGGCCGAAGCTGAGGTGAATGGATTCGAACTCAGACCGAGGTCCACCTACTGACCGAGTTCGAAAGTGTTCGAAGGTCTTGTGTTCGAAAGTGTGGGAAGGCTTTGGAATTCATCCCAAGTCAAATCCAGTACTCGTTGGTATTTGTCGTAGAAGAGCTCGTTGACTTCACCGACAAACGGGTTTGGAAGCTCTCCAGTTACATCTCACCTTGCTGGACGCGTTCCTTGTGCTTCCAAGGGTTCAATCAGCCAACGCAACTGCATCAGCCAACGCAAAGTTTTCCACCATTGAGTATAATACATAATTGAGTATAATATATAATGTAATATATATATAATTCATTAATATATTATATAATGTATATCCTATTCATGAAAAAGGACAGTCAGCGTTTGCCCTTTGATAAACGGGAACACCTGCACTGGAAACGGCCGCTGAAATCCCAGGGATTTGGCTCGCGGCCGGCGAACGTGCCGAGGCGCTCCAGAAGCAGTGCTGCTTGGGAGTGACCCTGCAGTCCGAGCTGCCCAGTGCGAAGAATGTCCAATGCGAGGAACATCATCAGCAGCAGCAGCAGCATGATGTTTGCTGTACGTAGGTGGAGTGAGGTTTCACCTGGTTTTGGTATGAGGATTTCAATCATCAACCGGAATCGCATGATGATTGATCGAGGTCAGTGTCATTTCCTTTTGCAAGGCACCCGAGGGAAGGAGATTCCCTAAGGCACTGGTCATTCGACCAATGGAGACTGGACATGTCTCCCTCCACTGTTTTTGTTCAACTTTTGCAGGTGGAGTCATGGCCTGACTGCAGGCCAAACCAGATGGGCGGTTGAAACGCTCTTCTTTTTCAGCGTCAGCCACAGCCTCCGCGGCCCTTCTCCACGGCCCAGGCCTGGACTCTTGGCGTTCAGCCAGACTCTGGACGTGGCCCATCGTGGTTCCACGCCCGGGGCGCCCAGGAGCCGAGTGGAAGACGAAGACTGACTCGTTCGTCGAGCGCCCACCGGAGAGCCCACCGAGCCAATTCGCTCCGAACAGTCGGTCGGTCGTGGTGCGATTATATATCGCACGGAGAACACACGGCCTCCTACAGGACCGTAGGTGGTTTGGATATGTTGGGATGATCTTGGGCACACACTGGTCCAAGAGAAGGAGTCATGTTGCAACATGAATTCCTCCTTCGCTTCGAAGCCTTTTCTACCGCAGATGGGCGGTGGACGGGCTCCGAACCGATGGGGCCGGCAGGGGGGCCGCGGTGATCCATGGGGTTGGTGTTGACCGAGCTGCGTTGACCCGGTGATGAGACTGTGGTGTTGACACGTGTTGAATGCGTTTGACGATTCGCTCACGGGTTTCTGAGAAGCTCCCTACAAAGAGTGCGCGGCAGTTCCGAGTATCATTCCCGTCATTCCCCACTTCTTCTCAGCTTGATGTTCAGGACCCCCGGCTGAAGGAGCGGCGATGCTCTTCGCTACGGCTTCAGCGCGCGCGTCGTTGCCCATGGCAAACGTCGATGCACTTCATGGATTTTCTGCACGTCTAAACCTGCAAGTCTAGCGTGCTCAATCAACCACCTTCTGTGTAGCAGTACTGATACTTTGCCTAGCTGTCAGCGAACTCAAGAGTTTTCGAGAAAAGAAGTCCGAGAAGACCCTGGACGTCAAACATATGGAGAGAATTGGTGAAAACAACGCCTGTCCCACTAAGAACAACTCCAACGGCCACATCCACTTTAGGCTGTTCTCAATCGCCCCAGTTGGCCATGGCGCGTGCCCAGCGCGCGCACCGCGCGCCGCGGCGTGCCTGCGTGGCTGTGGTTTTGCTGCTTTCGGGAGTGGCCTTCGTGGCAGCAGGCGGGAGCGGAGGAAGAGCGTCGATCTCGGCCCGCAGGGCTCGACCGGGTTTGCGGCGCAGGGTTCGGTGTGAGGAGTTCGTGTTGAAGAGTTGACACAAGAAGTTCCCCAAAACGACGGATTCCATTCTTCCCGAGCTTCTGATACTCTAGCGAGTATCTAGCTTTTCCACTCGCTCTCGTTCCCATGACACAGATGGGCTGTTCGGAGGTAGGTCGAGCCCAAGCTACGATCGTTCAAGGGCGAAAGGCCCTTTGGCTGTGAGGGATGGCGTTTCCAGGTCGGTCTTAGTGCGTTCGGGCACTTTCAAGTGAATTGGAGCCTCTTCCCCATTGATGTCCCTGTCTTTTGCTTGGGTTACTTGTGTCAGCTGCTTTCAAGTGAAAAGGCCTTGTCCTCAATTAGATGTCCTCCCTGTCTTTTGCTTGTGTTCGCCAGTCGATATATTTGGCTCACGTGTTCCAGCGGTGCTTTTCTTCAACAGTCGCGGCAGACGGGCAGTTCGTTTGGGATGGCAGCGGGAGCCAGGTCGGAGGGGTGAAGGTCGTAATGAGCGGTTTGGGAACGAGCACATCAGTGGCATGTTCTAACCTGTTCAAAGGCTTCCAGGACAGTCATGGGAGATGGTCAAAAGGAACCTATAGGAACCAGCACGAGCCAAAAGAATGAAATCCTTTGGTGTCAAATCAATCGAGCTCGTGGCAGGTGAATGACATCACCCTGTGCCATCGAGAACAGCTTCGTTTTTCGCCGCTGCTCGCAGGTGCTCGCCATAGTCCACCCACTGCCACAGCTGCCAGTGCAGCTGCAGCTGCAGGTGTTGTGTCCGTTGTGTCCACGCCAGCATCAGCTGAGACATTCTCCTTGCTGGGAAGCTTGGAGATGAAGTTCAGCAGCTTAAGAGTAACAGAGGGAGGCTTGCAATAGAAAGACCGTGTCTTCGCTTTGGGGCGCAGTCCTTAAGTCTTAAGGTCAACCCCCCGAGATGCTTGGTGGCTTGAAAACAACAAATTTGATTCATCCCAATGAGCTCACCCCACGACGTGTTCAGGACGAGGGACTCCACCTCCTCCATGGACATGGGGGGATGCTTTGATGAAGTGCACCTTCCCCAAAGTTTCATTCAGCTGTTTGAAGAGTCTCGGGTTCATCGTTCGGTACTACTGCCAGTTACCTGGGACTTTGAGGAACAACCCAAAGTGGTCTTCAAGGCTATGGCTAATTATGGCTAGCGGCTATGCAGGATGGCTGTTCACTCCGGGGTCACAAGCCTTTTCGAGGAAAAAGTTCCGCCGAGCTCTTTCCCATCGCCAATGCCGCGCCGCTCGTGACGCGGCGGAGTTGGCGGGACGAGGGGGGGAAGGCAATGTCTCATCAATTTTGAGTCAGTTGGAGCGGCCCCCCCAAGAAAAGAGTGCCGGGGAGTTCGATTTGAAGGTCCCATTTCTGATCCCAGTCCGCTCAGTGGAGTGCCCCTTTTTCTCATGTGATAGGCATTTGAATTGACAGGCTCTTGTGTTCTCGAGCTTCGTCCCATCCCCTTTGGGCCACGCATCACGCCTTGGAACACAAACAGGGCAGGGCGAGGGCGAATTTGAGGTTCCCGCGGGTTCCCAAGCCATCACCCAAGTGCCACGGTACAACGCCACAGTACAACGCCGAGTCCAGCATCGCGTCGCGTCCGCCCCTTCAAGAGGTGTTTTTTCCGAATGGCGCCCGCCGTCGCGAACGGCGGAACGGCAGGCGTTCCAATAGACAGAGGCGTCAGAGGTCACGAAAGGCCCTGGGATGTCCGATTTTTTCAGGTCACCTGGCTGCTTTTGATCTTCTTCCCAAGCTGGGAGCATTTGCCCAAAGCAGCCCTGGCGGCTCCGGTCTTCAACGCGGTGCTCTACGTGGCAGCGATTGGCCACCTGGACTGCGGTGCAGAGATGGAGCCGTACGGGTTTAGACGTGGAGACGTCCATGTGGTGAGTCAAAGATTCCCCCCGAACATGAGTCTTTGCCCCGTGGTTTGAGGATTTGGAATTGGACTCAGCCGTGTGCTAAGTTTGTTTTGTCCGTTTCACCACAGTGGGTGTGTTTGGGTGTTCACCCCAGATGGGATTTGAAACCACTCATTCCTGGACTAGTCAGTCAAACTCGAGCAAGAACAGGGTGTTTCGATGTCAAAGGCCAAATTACAGGGACCTTTAAGGCGTCAAAAGGCCAAGGGAGATGGATCAAATTCCGGAATGCATTGAAAGAGATTACCATCAAAATCCAGTGTCGGAACCGGTGTGTCCGTCACAGGGAGTGCATCAAGATCACCCAAATGAAGGGAGATGCAAAGCAATCTCTCATGGATTCATGCAGCTGTTGATGAGATTCACCCCGAATGCTGACCTCGCTGGTACGTCCTGCAACGTGCACAGATTCCCAAGCCTGGATCCTATATGTAGCCCCCGCTCCAAATCTCCAGTGGCCACATCGAATTCTACTCGGAACCCCACACCTCCACCCCACACCACCTGCCCATCCTGCACCTCCGCGGTCCCCACCGGGCTTTTTGACGGCCCCGCCCCCACCCACCGGCGGAAGCCCCGGCCCAAGCCCCCCACCCACCCGCCCCGCCCGGCCCCACCCGCGTGCGAGGCTTCCTGCTGACGCACCCCGACCCGGAGGCCGCCTCGGTGGACCTCACCAGCCTCGACGGCATCGTGGCGGCCTTTCGGAACCCCGACGGCGTCTTCGCCGGCGCCGCGGACGGCAACCGGCAAAGCGGTGCGACCCGTGTGCGGCGGCAGGAGGTGGGAGGTGGGACGAAAAGGGTTCAGAATGGTTTGGAGAAGCTGAGAGCAGGTGAAGAGTGGGTGCTGAGAGGTGTGCTTTTTGCTGGAAACTGGTGCTGGGCGAGCTGTGATACCGTACCTTGTACCACGTACTGTGGTTTAGAGAAGGAGACGTACTGGGAGGCCTTTTGAGCACAAGGGTTTTGTCTTCCAATGTCCTTCCCACTGCGATACAACCCTGTTGACTATCTCTTGGCCTGATCAAGATTCATGTCCCGAACCAAACTGGACAAGTATGATGTCGTGCTCGTTGGAGGTCACATCTTCTGTTCGAAGACCTCAGGTCTCGGTGTCACCTGAGGATGGCTTCACAACAATACTAATTAGGAGCGATCAGACCCTGGCCTTACGAACGGAGCAAGCTTCGCTACTAGTAACATGTCGGGCATCGCACCCGAACGGAGCGCTCAGACGCTACGAACGTAGCGATGCGGGGCACCTGAGGATGGCTGCACTATTGCGTCTTCGATCCTTTGGCCCCTTGGACCAACGTGACTCTTCGAGGAGACGAACGGATGCGACCCAGGTCCGAACAACCCCCAAAGGACCAACGAAGGGAAGCGCTGGGACGTTTCGGTTGGACGATCTGATCGTTGGCGCGAGCTGCTCGCAGCAGCATGATCCGTCGGATCACCAGACTATGCTAGACCATGACCTGGGCGTGTCAGAGACCAAAAGGGTCCTAAGGGTCCTCGTTGTCCCACATGTTTGGGGTCAAAGAACCAAGAATTCCACCCAAAAAACCCACGTGTCATGTCCAACCAACCGTACGAAAAAAACGGGGTGTGGATCGGTGAGCCTTCCAATGAAGACCAGGACGACCTGCGAATTGGAGGGTGTGGACTGCGAACTCTTCGCGGCGATCGTTTTGGGCTATGACCCAAGGCGATCTTCAAGCAGTGAAACGGTGAGTTACACCTCGCACACGGTGAGTGACACCCCAGGGACCTTCGCATCGAAGAAGCCGCATCGCAACGCCACGTTCGCCTCGTTCGGCAACATGGGTGGGGCATCGTTAGTTGGGTGGGGCGACAGCGTTCGGATCGGATCGGATCAAGGTCGGCTTGGGTGAAGTGCTGGACAGTCAGCAGCAGAAGGTGCCCCACTTCCTGGTGGTGCCACTGGATGGAAGATGGAGGGTGAGAGGGACTTGGATTTGGGGGGCGGGGTGGGTGTCCGTTTGGTTTCGGTTGGATTTGGGGAGGTTTGAAAGAAGCTTTGATCATTTTGTTGATCTCCAGCATCATTTTGTGTTACATGTTTCTAGTGCTCAACTGTGTGGTGGCTTTCAATGGCCATCTTCCCCGGACTTTCATAGCCCTGTTGGTTCACTGTTCTCTTTTGGATCCCGTCCACCCAGGGCTTCTCTCCTCCCCCACCCCAGGGAAGCCCTCTTCTCTTCGGGTCACAATTCGCTCTTCTCAGGCCATGCGTGATTTTGACCTTGCTCTTCGGACCCATGGGTTTTCTCTCCTACCTCACCGTGCGGACGGTGTACCTGGCGAGCAAGCCTGCCTGAAAGAGAGATCGATCCGGCCATTCGCCTCCTGAGCGGTGGCGAATCCTGCAGCCTCTGCGGACCTCACCAGAAATCAGACGAAAATAGCTGTGGATTCCTTGACATTCTGTGCTATCTTCGTGATTTTTCCACACCTGTGGCTATCTTGGTGAACCATTCCGGGAGATCAATATAGACAAGCACTGACAAGCTATGCCAGTGTTCAATCGCAGGGTGAACTGCCCGACGAGTGGTTGAGTTTGTTCCACTCATTGCACTCATTGGTTCTCAAAAAACCACAGTTGATCCCTGCAAGTCTGGAAAGAAGAAGGATGAAAAAGACGTACAAGGGAAAAGATCGGAAGCACGGATGTGTTAGGAATGATCCCTGCAAGTCGAGAACCAAGTCGTTTGAGAATGTGAAGAAGACACCGTCTCGCAACACCTGTTCTCGGCTCCTGTTCTCGATGCGGCAGACAATCAGCGGATGGTCTCAACGAAAAGGACCGGGTCGCGCGCGCCGGGGTCGGTCGGAGCTCGATCCCAAACGGGCGATGATCCGTTCAGCTGACTGATCCAACACCCGGAGTTACCAACTCCCGGTGGGTCAGAACCCGACTCTTCGACTATCCCAGGAGTCCCGGTACCCCAGGTTTTCCAGGTCCTATGAAACCGGTCAGTGGATACCTTTGTTGGTACATAGATGGGCAAACGCAGTCTCGATCCATCTCTTGTGAGGTCTCCCCGTGCAGACGTGGTGCGGGCACTTAGCGTGGCAGACGGTGGTGGCAGAGGGGTCACAGAGTCAGTTAGATGTATTGTTGATCAACGGTCAATTGCTAGTGAAGTGTTGATAAGTTGATAACTTAATGGATAGTTAATATATGTTAAGTTCTAGATTCAATCTCATCTAGGATGACTGCATATGACTGCCATAGCTGCAGGTTGAAGCTTTGCCCCCAAGACTCTTGTTACGTTGCCGGCTGCTCCAAGAAATTTGGCAGTGTACATGAAGCATAGCTGCAGATCGAACTTAACTTGACCCGTTTCATCGCGAGTCATTTAAAAACGCCAAACCCCAGCACTTTCAGCATGTGGATCCCTCTTTGCTGTTTCTCCTCTTCATCGTGACAGCCCAAAAAGAAGGATCGACCTCCGCCGTTGGCTCAAGACCATCCGCTCCCCATGTCGACCACAGACCACGTCGCCACATGCCGGGCGTGGCCGGAGCCTCTGCAGGGTGAGATGGACCAGAAGAAAGGGCCATGCCTTGTCGCCCTGGGCGAGGTGGAGATGACCAAGCCAGAGGCGGGACGGCACACTGTGTTTGGAGGCGTGAAAAGCGTGTTGAGTGAAGAGCCCTGTGGGAGTTTTCTTTCGATTCGTCGATTCGGTGTTGTTTTTTCCTGGATTCAGTGGCAGAAGGATGGAAGGACGGTTTCTGTTTCGATACCTTCTGTTTTTTCATTTCGATCCTAGACTCTGTGGTCATTGCAGTGGGACTCTTTTTTCATGACTACCTGCCTACCTGTGATCTCTGTGGTCATGGCAGGAGGTCGGAAGACCACTCGATCGTTTTTTGCAAGTCGCTGTGTTTGATACGTTTCCGTCAGAAACTTCAAATCTTATCTACTGTCCTTGAGAATGGTCTACTTTGTTTGTGTGCTTCTGCGGAGAGATCTCTACCTACCTCTGGGAAATCTCTACTTTTTTTTGTGGTTTCTCCAGAAACTATTGCTTTCCAAACCAACCAAATCACAAGAATCTGTTCACAGACCACCCCCTCTCTTCCATCACACCGTCCCACACTCGTCCCTCCTCTTCGCCTCCTTCCGGCCCAAGCCACGCCTTTCCCGCGCCGCGAGCCACGCGAGGTGCTGATCCAGGAGGATCCCGAAGCCGCCTGGACGGAGCCCGAAGGCACCTACCGCGACTCCTTCCACTCCTGGACGAACCATCCGGAGCACCTGGCCATCTCGCCGAACCGGCACGTGCACGAGCCGCCCGGCGCGGGCAACAAGCCGGGGACGTCCGGCGGTTTTGGGGGGGTTTTGGGGGGAGAGGAGAGGTCATTGAGGGGTGGAGAGGGGGGCAGTGGCCAATTGGGAAGCGACCATTGCGGCTGGGGAGGATCCCTGTCTCCCATTTTACGGTTTGACGGTTAGGAGTTCTCAGCGTTCGGGGTGTGTTTGAAATGTGGCCACTCCCGGTGAAGTTGTGGGAGTGTTGGTCAAAATCATTCAAAATCGACGGATTGCAGGTAGAGTAGATTGTAATTTTTGCTTCACAAGTGCTCAACATCGTTTTGAAAGACATGATTCAATTCGGTCCGGGATGTCATTGATCTGATTTGCCGCGGTGTGAACACCACATGGTTCAGGTATTTTTTGTGGGACAAACTGGGCCGCACAGATGCCAAAAAACGGCCGCCCAACGCGTTCACATGTCATCCTCAGACAATGTCGATCTGACATCGCGGCCCTGCGAAGTGTATGAACGAGTCGGACGGAGGCTGCAGGAGTGATTTTCGACACCATTCGACCCATCATGGCCTCTTTGGAAATTCCACCTGAGCAGAAGATCGAATTCGCACACTTTCCTACAGGATCAATGAAAAGACAAGGATCAAGACACTCGCTGTTCCCAATTCATGGTGTTCTTTTTCAAACGCGGTCTTCCCTGAGAGACAAGATCAACTGACCAGCTCAGAAGACCATGAAACTGAACAAGAACATCTTCCCACCGAGGGGAGACTTGTTCGACCCGACCGTCGGATGCCCTGAGGATGTACATGCAACTCTTGGAGGAAGTGGCAGAGGAGGTTCGACGCCGCCCGAACAGGCTGAAGCAGGTGATCGAGAGGAGACGAGGCTGGCTGGGGGTTGGCAGGAGGGCTTGGTAGCACGGTTCGCCTCCATTTGGTTTGGATTTATGGGTGGTTCGGCCAAACTCCTAAAGAGGCATCTGGAGAACCGTTCATCTCACTGGTTCACATGTATATTATAGTTAACATAGGCCACAAGTCTTGCAGGAGTTCTTGCATCAAAAGATAGCTGTGGGCAGTGCGGCAGGGGAGTCAATCATCACCACCAGACGCCCTCTTCGCCTTCCGACGCGTTGGGCCCGGGGATCCGAGTGCTTTGCCCCGAGGCGATTCCCGGATGGCGGGATGCTGTTTCTGGAAGCGCTTCGCATTTTGACGCTGTGAGAGGGTGAGTTGGGTGAATCGTTTGCCGCAGCGGGTAGCTGGGCGAATGGAGCTCCGAAGTTTTTGATGCAGAGTCCACCATGGTTCGGAGGCGAAACGTCCCAGAAAGTCACTCCACCTACTAGCGATGGCCTCACTGTACCCTTCTTGGGTGACCCGAACAAACGCACAGTGCTAAGCTGATATAGAAGATGTCCGATCGATGGGCGGCTCCGATGGCCGTGGATCTCCGAACGACCCAACGAGCGGTTGGGGAGCTCTTGATATGTCTTGCGCCGCATCCTTCCAGGGCGAAGAGCGCCTGCTTGTTTGGGCCGGATCTCATCGATTCTCATCGTGTCTATTTTGTTACGAAAGCTGTTGGCTGTTGGCTGTTTGAGCACCCTTGCGATATGCGTTGCTGTTCGGGACGACATAGCAGTACTGGTTGATTTTGAAGAGACCTGTGGCTCTGTCGCACTGCTCCAATCGGGGAGAACTGCTCCAATCGTGTGATGGAGATCAGGGGTAGACTCCTTGTTCCGCTCAGTGCATTGAGTTCAGTCCCACAGGGCGATTTGTGCCGTCTAAAACGATCCATTGTTCGGTAAGTGAAGCCAACGCCCGACGATCCAATGAACGACTCCACCTGGTAGTCAATCCATCCACCACTATTATCATTAGGGGATATTAGGGGTAAAATGAGTTATGGAGAGCTTGCCAAAGTCAAAAAAAACATGAGTCATGACTGCACAATCAGGCGCTGTTTCTTATACTGGTGTGTTTGGTGTCAGCCTTCTTTGAGTGCTGCACTGACTGGACCTATCGACTTTCTGTTCCCGCATGTTCATCCAGCTCGCTCGGGTTTCTCTTGTCCCGTGCCCCGCTGCGCCGTTCGTGCAGGGCAGGACGTCGTTCGAGAGAGGTCGACCAAGAGAGGCGGGGCGCAGGTCGGCGGACCAGATCAGGCAAGGCCTCTTTCACAAATAGGCAGAGAATAGGCAACGCTCCCAATTCTCTTCGCGTGGGCTCTCAGAGATGTCCAGGTGTTTTGCATATGTCCATATGATTTGCGTCTCCCGTCTGCATGTCTAACTGCATGGCAGACCGTTCCTCTTTTTCCCTGGCCCCGTCGTGGGCAATCGCACCTGTGGACAGATCCGAGGCAGAAAAAGGGAGATGCCGGGCGAAGTGGCCCGAAGTCGGACGTTCCAGTGGGCCAGCTGGACCTCATGTCCATCGTTTGGGAGTCAATGGGTATGAAGCATGTGCAGATCAAGTTGAAAGGAACAAGAAAGGGAAGGAGAATAAGAAGCTGTGGGAGAACCTTCTTTTTGGGTGGCTTTCCTTGTCAGCGCTCTTTTTTGGAGAACCCGTTGTATTGGGAAACCAGACACACAGAACGACAGACGGACACCTGGCCAAGCCCAAAGGCCCGGGCCGTTCGGTGCGGAAGGGGGTGAGACCGAAAGCTTTCACCCAACCGGTTGGCCCGGTGGCTCCGAAAGCCTCATTTGGGTTGATCTTTGTACAGCCCATGACCACATGGCCATGGCTTTCCGAGAACGGGACACCCAGATATTTTGGGCCCACTGCTATTGGGCTTGGCTTTTGGAGCCACATCCTAAAGGACGCTAAGCTGAAAGAAAACCCCGTTTGGTCACCGGGACCTAAATGCGACTCGGACGAGGTCCAGCTGGCTGCCCGTTGCGCCGGAACGCAGCGCCGTGCACGGCACGGGGCCGTGATCCGGGATTCCCAAAACCAGGCGCGACGTGGGAAGAACCAGGGAAAGATGAGTGACTTGGAATTGGGGTGGTGGTGGTATGTGGAG